AAAAAGTAAACCAATCAAAGAGCTGTTTAAACTACTGACCTGAAATGTATAAAACTCTTTAGTCTACATGCCTTATAAAGTACAAATAATCTGTGGAAAAAAAAGGCATAAGAAGAGACAGAGAAATTTAATGACCTAATGAAACAGAAGGAACACTGTACTAGTTTAACCTGTTTAGTACTATATTCTGCTCAGCAGCAGTTATAGTAATCAACCCTCTAAATATTCATTATTTATCTATCATGGGTATAACTTTGAACTCGATGTTAGAGAAGTCATAGGGATGAATCAATCCCCTACACCAGGATATCCAGTCTCTGGCTTCCCTGGGCCACACTGGAAGATTGTTTTGGGCCACACTTGCATTGTACTTTTACAGCACTATTCCACCTATTATCTCAATTTTTTGCTGGGTTTAAACAGTTTGTCTATATCTTGCCATCCAACTTAATGGCTCAATTTTACATTATTATACTTTGAAGCATTATTTTGAATTGAAAGAAGGTCAACATATCTATAACATTGGTGTAAGTTTAAGAGAATTTTAATAAGGGATTAAAAATCACTTTTGTCTTCCTTCTTAAGTAGTATTTTTATGTATTGCTTAAAGTTTTATGAGGGTATAAACTATAAAATACACTGGAATGCACTAACAATAGCTGATGAGCTTTAAAAAATAAATCACACAAAATAAATCTCTTAACGTTTTAAGAAAGTTTACAAATTTGTGTTGGGCTGAATTCACAGTCGTCCTGGGCCACATGCAGCCGGTGGAAAGTGACACTATACTAGTGCACCCACAGCTGTAATCCATGACAGAATGGGCCAGGTTTCATAGAAGACACAGAGCTGTATTTAACAAGCATGAAGAAGTGGCAGGCAAGAGTTTCAGCCAAGAGATCAGGAAAGCTTCCCATTAGTAGATACGGGCAATACAGGAGGTAATAACAAAGGCTCATAGGTAGGAAAGTACTTGAGAAGTTCACAGAATAATTGGACAAGTCATTTTTGCAGGATTGTAGAATGTATGAGGGGAGTGGTGGAAGGAAAGAGTAGAAAGAATGAATTGGTCATGCTTGGGAGTGTGCACTTCATTCTTGCAGAGAAATATGGGGAGCTTTGGCATTTTAACACTTTAGAAGCTTAAGAAACCTTAGCCTTCAACTCTATTATGGAGGACAGTTTTGAACCTCAGTAAGGTTAAGTGGCTTGAAAAGAATTACAAAATTCACAAACAGGGGTCAAGAACTAAGTTCCTCCCTCCCAGCGATAACAGGATCAGATATATGATTTAGAAAAATTATTTTAGCAGCAATGTGCAATATAGACTAGAGAAAAAAGAAATTACCTATAGTCTAGGAATAAAGAGAAACTGGATGTAAATTAGAATTCTTCTATTACTAAGATACAATTATAATGTGTTTTTAAACTCTTATTCATCAAATTAGTCTTTTGTACACTGACCTGGGAAAAAAAAAAGAAAAGAGAAATTAAAAAAAAAAAAAAATCTTATTCACTGTGATGTGCCAGACTGAAATGTTAACTTGGCCACAGAAAAATCCCCTACCTTGGCTATAAGCCTTCAGTAGAGGAGATAACAAGAAAAGTTTTGTGCCAGCTACATCAGTAATATACATTGCCACTTGTGCCAGTTCAACCCTTCATGAAGAGTGGTGAATTACTGACATGAATATTGGAGGTAATTTCAACAACTGTGAATGGGAAAAGCAGTTTTTCAAAGAAAGTAAATTTCACTGAAACATGTGATCAAATGGTATTTCTATAACAATAACTAAGAGTAAGATTTTCCTAAATGCCTACATTTCATTGTATCACCTACATAATGGAATAAGCTAACACACAATGCTATGGAAACACAGGTGAAGCACATGATCATAAAACAGACAAGGCTGATTTTTATGTGTGGTTTATGGAAAGCAGCCTTGTTACTTGATAATAATACCTTGTCATAATCACTAGCAGGACCACCCCAAGAAATGCCAAACTGAATCTATGAAACCTAAAATAAAAGAGCACAACATAATACTTGTCCTCCTTGATAATCACCTTGAAACGTTTAGATTCGCCCTATTTTCCTTTAATACTCTGCCTGAATTGATCATCCAAGAAATTATCTTAAGATCTTCCATATCTGTATTTTCTAATGACACTTGCATTGTACTTTTACAGCGCTGTCACACCTATTATCTCAATTTTTGCTGCGTTTAAACAGTTTATCTATATCTTGCCATCCAACTTAATGGCTCAATTTTACATTATTATACTTTGAAGCATTATTTTGAATTGAAAGAAGGTTAACCTATCTATAACACTGGTCTAAGTTTAAGGTATTTTAATAAGGGCTTAAAAAAATCACTTTTGTTCCCTTTCTTACATAGTACATTTTCATGTACTGCTTAAAGTTTTATGAAGGTACAGAGTATAACATTGTGTCCTCCAAAGTGCCCATATTACAGAGGTGCCCAAAAGGCTTGCTCAAGTCATGAAATGAGCAGTGATAACAGGTCAACTTTGGGTGCAGCTGTGTGGTACAAAGATCACCAGAGCTGATTTGGCCTATCAGGATGCTTAGGCAATCTACTGCGTAGGTTTATCTTTCCCTGCTGGCCTCTTAGATGTTGATAGTCACCGGGCTTCAGCCACAGACTTTCCCTTCACATTCTGCATACCACCTAAGCAGACTGCTCCACTCCCATAGCCTTACCTCCTATTATGTGTGTGGATAACACCCAAATCATTGTCTTTGACTTCATTCCTAAGCTATAAATTATATATTTTACTGCTATTTCCATTCCTATGTCTGATTAACCTCAACACAACAAGCCCCAAATTGGATGTCATCATCATCCCTTGAACCCCTGCTCCTTGTGAGGTGTTGCTATATTAGTAAATAGCCGCACCCCATTGCTTCATAGTGAAACCCAGGTAAACCTCATTTCCTCTTTTACCTACCCACATTGAATCAATCACCAATTCCTAGTGATTCTACCACCAAAAATGTATCTTCAACTTACTACTTCTCTTCTTACCTATTTAGTTATCATCATAACTCACGAGGATTACTCCTAACTGGTAAACTTTGCCTCCAATCTACTGTATAGCCAGAATTATCTTTCCAAAATGTAAATCTGCTTAAAAACCCTTAGATGGCTTCCTACCACTCTTAAGACAATGCCAAACCTCTTGTCATGGCCTACAAGGTTCTTCAAGAGCTGGAAACTACCTTGTAAGTTATCCTATATTATGGCAAAATGCACAGTCTAGAGGAGCCAGACTGACTTCTTGCTTACCAGCTGTCTCATAATAGGCAAATTACTTGATTTCTTTGTCCCTCAGTATCCTCATCTGTAAAATGAGACTATTAATACTCATTTCACAGCGTAGTTGTGAATGTTAAATGAGAGAATATACAACGTTTGATACAGTATCTAACACATTTGACACATATTAGTAAATATTAGCTACAGTTACTATCTCTCTACTTAATTTCTCACTGATTTCCCATTTGTATTGCAGTTCCAACCACAGAAAACATCTTTCATTCTGACATATTTGACACATAAATATTAGTAAATATTAGCTACAGTTACTGTCTCTCTACTTAATTTCTCACTTATCTCTCATTTGTATTTGTGTTTCATCTCTAGAAAGTATCTTTCATTTCCTCTTCTCACATATTTCCTCTTCCTTTAGTATCCAGTTCCTCCAACTGCAGCCTCCTCTCCCTCCAAACCACCCCTCCTACAATTTAGATCTCCTCCTAAGAGCTACATCCTCTGGAAAGTCCTCCTGCCCATCCTGTGTGTGTTTGGTGCCCTTACTATGTGCTTCCTAAGTTCTTGTATTTTCCTTGCCATGGCACTTGTTCTATTTTCTGTAAATTTCTCTCTCTTCACTGCTAAATTCTAAGTTCTGTGTGAAGTGTAACCATGTCTACCTTGCTCACCATTGTATTTTCAATGCCTAGTACCAGTGCCTGGCACACAACAGGCACTTTTTAGAGTTACACTTCCTCTCTCACAGCTCCAGATGTACTCCTCCCCAAATTGCAGTTAGTGCAAAAGCACAGTGTTCCCACAACAGATATCTGTAGAATGAGGTTCAAAAAGGCTGCCACAGAACAAAGAATCTGGTCAAATAATACTGGAAAGGATAGGTTTAAACAGTTAGGGCTCTGAGCCACGGTAATTCTCAGAATCTTTTCTATTACTAAAGTGCACTGTGAATTTCCAAGTTAGAGGGGATAGGGTGGAGGAGTGTATATTTCTGAACATATCTCCTGCAACCAGTGTTCGCAAAGCCGGTTTAAGGAGATGCTCTCCTTTACTAGAACTTCCAAGTAAGCTGGTAGTTAAGGATGAGAAAATCTTTTAATTATTCTGCGAGTTCACCATTTTTAGGGCAGTAACTTCTGGACGCAGAATTTGAGACTCAGAAGAAATCTTATACGTAATTCAACAAAGCTCCTTGTTTTTATAAGGAAACTGAGGCCCAGAAGCACAAAGAGACCAATCTGTGGCCACAGAGCAGCGACCTACAACAGGAAGGGCTAGGAGTAGAACCCGGACGCCCGGCTGGTCCTAGCGACTTCTAAGACAAACGATGCCTCCGGTTACCTGGGTAGTCCAAGTGTTTCCACTTCAAATTTTATTTTAAAGCCATGCCACAATTAAGGTAGTTTTTCTTGGCCGCCTGCCCCCTTAGGCCTACACTTACAGTCTCTCCCTTCTCCCTCCCTTCCACGATACACTTTCCCTGTAATCCCATGCAGTTGCCGGGGGAGGGAGATAGTTACTTTCTTTCCTTCAGAGTTTTTCTTTGAACTGTAAACTTTTTCATGTAAACAAAACAAACCTGTGAATTTTAAGGCCTCCACCTAAATCCCCATGGGCGCTGCTCCCTACATCCCGCACCCTACCCTATCCTCCCTTGCGCTCCCTTCTGAGCTCGGACACAGTGGCCCTGTAATTGCTCCTTACCTGGGACCGCCATGACGGTGGTGACAGGGGTCACTGGAGCCTCTGGCTTTTGAAAAGGCGTTTGCTTCCCGCCAGCTTCCAGGACAAGGCACAGCCAAAGCGGCGTTTGCCTTCCCCAGAGCTGCAGCACCTTCGCTGCTGTCGGAAGGCCCTGTAAGCCTCTAGCGACAACAGAACCAGTAGACGCAGATGCGGTTTCCGGACGAGTCAGATTGCAGAAGACACATGGTCCGGACCATTACTGCTAGTTTTGGGGGGTGGTGAGTGTGATCTGCACACTAGATGAGTAAACTAAACATCGCCAAGACTTACGAAGTGCCCCTTCTAATATTGTAATACAAATTACATTAAGCTATAGTAGCTTTACAGATTTTTTTTGTACCCAGGAGTACATTGGAATCACCCTTCTCAGGGTTAGCGGAGCTCGAGTCCGGTAACAACATGGCGGCGTCCGAGAGGGGCTGTTTTGGGCAAAGGTAGTGTTTGGTGTCCCTGTCTTGCGTGATATTGACAAACTGAAGCTTTCCTGGACCACTCGACTTAAGGAAGAGTGTGCTCGTAGGCGGACAGCTTTCGTGACCGGCCATCCACTCTCATCTCCCATAAGGAGCAGAGTCCTGAGTACTGATAAGGATGAGCAACATCTACATCCAGGAGCCTCCCACGAATGGGAAGGTGAGAGCTTCATCTAGGGAACTTGGGGCCCTGGGATCCCCAAAGTGAGATTTCCCGGATTTGGGGTGGGGGATGGGTTCAGGGATCTTGTGGTAGGAAGAGACCACGAGAAGTGTTGTCGTTACTTCTTCCTGTGGACAATGTTGCATCGAAACACTGAAGCTGGTACTTCTCAGCATGTACTTGAAAAAGTCAAGTGGAGTTTTCCCTATCCAGCAGCGTTCCGGTCCTATTTTCTGCCTTAAACCAACTCACGCAGCCGATATCTAGTGCCTTAGGTTTTTAAAAGTACATTTTTGAATTTGATGTATTCTTTGCTTAACTTGGAGGTCATTAATTCTCGATTTCTTCTACAATCATTAATTGAACGCCTGCTAGGCACTGGGCACTGTACTAGACGCCGGAAATACAAAGATGCATAGGTAAGGTAGTTTTCCCGGAAGAGCTTATAGTTTAGTTTGTGAGACAGGCAGGTAAACAAAAGCCTTATATGTCTGATAAGGGTGCTTGCAGAGAAAAGCATGTTACTATGGTAATACTGAGTAGTGAACAATTGGGAAAGTTAGGAAAAGCCTCATGGAGAAGCTATCTTTTGAGCTGGTTTTAAAACCTGAGTTGACTGTCAGTCAGAGAAAGTGGGAAATGGGGAATATCACCACATTAGAATGGAAAAATGTTTCTCTGATTGATTTAATGGCTAATGTATGCCAATTCCCATCCAAGGTTGTTTGTATACAGTACAAGGCAGAAGAGTCAGTTGTAGAATAAGTGTCACCTGAATTCTTAAACCGAGACCTAGACCGTATCACATATGAAATTTGGTGAATCAGCATATTGGAGAAAATGACGAGCTTGAAAGTATATACGTAGTTCAATTAAGATAAGCTAAATTTACACCACATACCATCCTGTTTGTTACATATTCATCACAAATCATTTATACATTCTTTTATTCATTGATATTTGATAATGTAATGAGGGCAATTTAAAAGCAAAACCAAAAATGCTGTAATTCCCAGCAAAAATTTCCCAGCAAGTATTTTGAGTAAATCAATTCTTCAAATTCTTCATTTGAACTTCTCCTGGGCATTGTAGGTTAGTATGTCCATCCTACCCCTCACATATCTTATTTAATATTAATGTGGTAACCCAAAATACCTACCTCTTCCTATTTCAAAATGTTTCTTGAGGGCAATATCACCCCCAGTTAATAAACACTGGTAGAGATTGAATAGATTTACCATCCTACCAGACAGGGACTTCACACTTGCTGTTCCTCTGTCTAATCAAGTGTCAACCTTAGCAAAGAGCCCTTTCTTATCTACTTTCTATGAAATAGCAAACTTCAATAATGCCTTGCGTCCCAGCATTCTCTGGCCCCCTTAACCTTTTTAGTTTTTTTCCGTAGTATTTATTAATTATTTAGTATTACCATATCCTTCCTCCTACTTTACGCCTATAGAATGCAAGCAACGTAAGGGCAAGACAAGCATCTAGAACAGTACTTGACACATGGTATAAGGAGTTCAGATATGTATTGAATAAACAAATGGGTAGATGAATTAATACTACTTTTTTCTTAGTTTTTGAGAAGTATGAAGCATCAGTGAGTTTGAACTTATACTGCTGCTGGTCAAGGACGGACTTAGTTCCTTTATTCTAAAGGAAGATTTGACATGGTCATATAGATGGAAAGCTTTAACAAGGATACATGCCTGAATAGATTATTCATTCAACAAATATTGATTGAACAAATCAATTGCCAGGCTCTATGCTAGGTTTTAGGGATACAATGGAAAGAAAAAAGCAGCATTATCTCAGTTGTCATGAGTTAGTTGAGTGAAATATACATTAATTGAATAATCATGCAAATAAATGTTTAATTACAAAATGTGATAAATACTGTCTTCTGAACAGAAATGGGCTGAATGATAACATAAGGGCCCAAGTTTTCATCTAATAACAAATTGGGACTTTTTCCAGCATAAGGCTGTTCCAAGATGTTAAAACTTCTAAGTTCTGTAAGGTTGAGATGTGACAAAAAATTTGGTCTGCAAAGAATTTGAAGCAAATGTAATAAGTCTGTTCAATGAATGTTTATTGCCTTTACTGTCTAATAGTACATTAGGTACAGAAAGGGTACAGAGACATTCAGAGTAAATGGGACAAAATTATTCCTTTCAAAGAGCTTAGTATCAACTTGGGAAGTAATTAATACATGATGCCAGTGCTTGGCCCCTGGTCGTTATCCATAAATTGTGCTGTGTTTTGCTGTGCTATGCTATAACCCTAGCCCCTGAAGATGAGGCAAAGAAATGTAGTACTTGATAAAAATTTTCTTAAACAGAAGAGCTAATTCCCTGAAGATGAAATTTCCGCATATTATGATCACTTAATCTAAATTGTGTCTGACTTCTTCACTTAGCATGTTGCTTTCAAGTTATAAGGGCCTGTCTTCCTGTTCTACGCACTTATTTCTTAAATATCTTGAAAATGAAAATGGCTTTATAAGTGTATTTATATATGTATTTATAAGAAACATGATATTATCTAAGTATTAATTGGAAATTTTAAGAGAAAGAGCCAAGGAGGCCTGACAAAGTCATGATGGCCAAAGAGAATGTATGACCAGAGGAGGAAGGAGCCATATGCCTTCTTTATTAATTCAGTAGCTTATTAATGAAAAGATTAAGAAACCCTGGTGAGCAAGGTGGCTCATATATATATGCATTCTTACTAGGTGTAAGTTGCCTGTGGCCAGAAACCTCTTTTATGAGAAAAATGATGACTTATTTTTTGAGCCCTTATTATTTGTCATGTACTGTTCTAAGCAGTCTTATGTATTATAGCTCATTTTGTCCTCACAGAAATCCTAAAAGATACTATTATCCCTGTTTTTAGATTAGGAAATTAAGTGATAGATGTTAGATAGTGTGCACAAGGTCACAAGATAGTAAGTAGAAGGGCCAGTATTTGAATTTGGGCATCCTGATTCAAGAGCCTGTTGAGGGAGGAACAATGTGAGTTAGTGTGTTCTTTAGAGCAGTGGTTTCTAAACCAGTGAGTGCATACTTCAGGTGGTGTGCAAAACCATCCATGAGCTGTGGGGAGAAAATCTATATATATTTGTATTTTTTCCTTTGTTTAAATGCATTATTTTGTATATATAAAAAGATGACAGCCGGGCATGGTGACTCATGCCTGTAATCCCAACACTTTAGGAGGTTGAGGTGGGGGATTGCCTGAGGTTAAGAGTTCAAGACAGCTGATCTACATGGTGAAACCCTGTCTCTACTAAAAAAAATACAAAATAATTAGCTGGGTGTGGTGGCATGCGCCTGTAATCCCAGCTACTCGGGAAGCTGAGGCAGGGGAATTGCTTGAACGAGGGAGGTGGAGGTTGCAGTGAGCTGAGATCATGCCACTGCACTCCAGCCTAGGCGACATAGCGAGACTCCATCTCAAAAAAAATAAAATGGCTTGATGCGGTGGCTCACGCCTGTAATCCAAGCACTTTGGGAGACTGAAGCGGGTGGATCACAAAGTCAGGAGTTTGAGACCAGCCTGGCCAACACGGTGAAACCCTGTCTCTACTAACGATACAAAAAATTAGCTGGGCATGGTGGCACACTTGTAATCCCAGCTACTCAGGAGGCTGAGGCAGGAGAATCACTTGAACCTGGGAGGCAGGGGTTGCAGTGAAATAAGATTGTGTCATTGCACTCCAGACTGGGCGACAGGGCAAGACAACATCTCAAAAAAAAAAAAAAAAGATGTAAGTTCAGTCACTTTTTTGGCTAAGTGATATAATTTTTCCTAATGACTGGCTAAATAGATTTATAGGCCATAGTATTTAAATTAACTAAACCAGCCCTCACAAATTTCTTATTGAAGATAATAATATAAACAAGCAAACCATAAAAACATGGTAGAGATGATACCTCAACATGGGAAGTCTGTCAAAAAACAAATTATTATGGCAACCATTGGAAATATGGATTTCTGTTTATTATTTTTAATGGTGAACTTTGTCTTAACTATATATTGTGTCTTAAAATATTTACCAGTAAGAGTATAAAGCCATTGTGATTTTCAAGACATTTAAAAAGTAGGTGTGTAGAACTGAGAGACTCCTATGTAATTTGAAAGCAACATTGTGCTAAGTAAAAGAAGCTGGACACAAAAGGCCACATATTGTATGATTCACTTTATATGAATACGCAAACCTATACCGATAGAAAGTAGATTTGTGGTTGCCAGAGAGTAGGAGTAGGGGTAAATGGGGAGCGACTGCTAATGGGTACAGGGTTTCTTTTTGGGGCGGTGAAATGTTTTGGAATTAGATAGTGGTAGTAGCTGTACAATGTGATGAATATAATAAAAACTACTGAATTATACAACTTAAAAGGGTGAAATGTTTGGTATGTGGATTATGTCTCAATGAAGCTGTTATAAAAAAAGGTTCATTGTACCATTAATAAAATTAAAATAAGAATTATTTTAAAATACGATTTTAATGTAATTTAAAATTTTTATGTTTTGTGACTCTTTTATAATACTAGAGCAATATCCTATTATAAGTATTTAAATAAATATATTTGTGGATGTGCGATCCATTGCCTCTCCACCCCACCCTCCCTTTGCTTTTGTTTTCATTTACAAAAAGTTTGAGTTTGGAGATCATTGCTTTGAGGTTGCAATTAAGAGTAGACAAGTCTAGATTCCTTTTAACAACAGTGCTTTATTTCAAGTATACAAGGGGATAATGAGGTAGGACAGGACAGGACATTGTTTTTTCAGGTATGCTATACTTTTAAGATTGGGATGTGCATCACATCAAGCCTCATGGAAAATCAGAACACATTGCATAATGGTATTCCAGATACATTCTGAGGTAGAAGGAGGCAGTTATCCATTCTCTCAGTGTGTATCCCAAATGTATACTTCCCAGGAGAGTGAGAATCAAGTTGGGTTGCTTTGTCACCATCCAGTATGGAGTATTTCTTTTGGGCAGTTTCATGCCAAGGCAAGTTGGAAGGCCTTGTTTATGTTCAGCTAATATATGATTACTTTTGACTTAGACATTGTTCTCTGTTCAAATCAGTTGTGACTGGGGCAACTTGGGGATGTATTTTGAGACCTAATGCAGGGCCCTAGAACTTGCTGTACTATGTTTTCAGTATAGTATGGAATACATGGAGAACTTTGTGGAGGTAATCTGATGATAAAGAAAAAGCACAGGCTTTGTAGCCAGTCTTCGGCTCAAGTTTTTCACTGTGGACCTTGGATAAAATTACTTTATCTGAGTCTCTGTTTCTTCATAAGCAAAGTGGGAGTAATGATAGCTATCTTGTAGGTGAAGATTAAATGAGTTAAGATCTGTAAAGTATCTGGCACAAAAACTGACACATGGAAGTCATTCAACAAATGTTCCCTTTTTATTTGTAGAAAGAGTGTAATGGATTGAGAAAAGCATGCACTGATTCTAATTGTGCATTTCCAAGTCTTTTATATTTCTTTAATGGTTAAGAGAACCATTTAAACCTATACAACAATGTACATATTTTCACCTGCCTTACCCCCACGGTCACTGAAGAGTAGTTGTAGGAAAACTATGTAGCCTATAAAAGCCCCCAAAGAGACAATGGATTTATCAATGTTACATATTATATAAATGTATGGCAGCATTATCTTGGTTTCTGAAACAGAACTGAAAAGGCAGTTGTAGCACAAATGCACTGGACTGGGATGGAAGAGATTGAAATGCTATTTCTTGCTTTGCTATTAATAAGCAATTTAACTTTATTTGCTTTCTAACTCAGGTAATTCAGTTTCTTTGGGGCATCTATAAAAGGCAGATTGAATGATTTTAAATCTTCCTCCAGTTCCAAAACAAAAGTATATTTGTGTAAACTAGGTAAAAGATTTTTGGAAAATAAAATATGTGACTTAATATTTATGATACTGACTTCCCAAGAGATCGGTCTCATGTTTTTGAACAGTTGCATTGCATACTCTTTAGTTGCAAGAGCATTCTAAAAGATTGTGATGGTCACAAATTATTGACACTGATCTACTTTGGTATATATAGTACGGGGGAAAAAAAGAAAAAGTAATACTGGAGAAATTGTTTTCCAGCTATGCCACAATGTTCAAATTTAGAGCCTAACATTCTTTTTGGTTACTTGTGGGTTATAAATAAGACAGTTATAAACTGTTTCCTGTGGGCCCAGCAGGGAGGGGTTCTAGTTGTTGCAGTTTCTGGTTCCACCAAGGAGTATCTGCTGTTAGAAGGATTCTATTTACTAAGATATAATATTTTAAGATATAATATTTTAGTAAATCACAAACCTAGAATTAGATTAAGAATGCTCTTTTGTAAATTAGGAATAGCATGATGTTAAATGACAGAGAGAATAAAAGTGTAATTAAAAAGGGTAATTACAAAATTGTCTTATAATGTCACAACTTAATGGGTTCATTGTTCTTTACTTTCTTAACTTGCTACACAGTTTTATTGGAGCTGATGCAATGGGAAACTCAATTATAACAAATTTGCATTACTGGGGTTTTGTCTTATTTTGCTTTGTTTTATTTTGAGACAGGGACTTGCTCTGCCATCCAGGCCTGAATATAGTGGCATGATCATCGCTCACTATTACTTCAAATTCCTTGGCTCAAGATCCTCCCACCTCAGCCTCCCAAATAGCATGGAACACCACCATGCCTGGCTAACTAAAAAAATTTTTTTAGAGACAGAGTCTCTGTGTTGCCCAAGCTGTTCTTGAACTCATAGGCTCAAGTAAACTTCCCACCTTCGGTATTACTGTTTTTAAATGAATGAAGTTTTTTTCTGTGATTAAAAAAGATATATGCCATTTTTCTTAAATCCTAAACTTTTTCTGAAATGGTATTTTGAAAGATTTAAATGTACAATAAGTTTTAGTGAATACTTGACATTTTATTGAGTATATCAGCAAAAGCCAAACACAATTTTTAATATTTCTTTTAAAATTAAAAACTCACTAATGATTGCTACAAATCAAATGGTTACTCAACTGATTGTTAAGCAAAATGATATGTAATATTCTTTCTACAGGTTTTACTGAAAACTACAGCTGGAGATATTGACATAGAGTTGTGGTCAAAAGAAGCTCCTAAAGCTTGCAGAAATTTTATACAGCTTTGTTTGGAAGGTAATTATAACTTTTGACTTTTATTCTATTGGAGAAATTTTTATTTAAAAAAAAAAACTGCACTGTCTTCTTCACAACATTGAAGACCAGTGTTAAATAGTGGTCATGAGTGACAAGTGTTGCTATGATGATATGCTATTGAGCTGGTTGTCGGGAAGTAGAGATAAGGGATAAAAACTTTATCCAAAATAAATCTGAATACTTTTAACAGAGAAATTTATCTCAACAAATAACACTGTGATCCTCTTTGGTCTTCTTTGCTATCTTACACTTCTTTCTCTAAATTTGGGTGTTCCCTAAGATTGCCTCTAGTTCTCTATTGTCATCACTCTCTAGTTGTTACTTCAATCCAAATGACTACCAAATTTAGAACTTCAGTCATTTCTTCTCTTCCTAGTACTAATTTACATATCTAATTTCCTAGTAGACTTTTCAACTGGAGCCTTCCACTGTTAGCTATAACAAAACCAGTATAAAACCAAATTTACCAGTTTCTTCCCCAGTCTGCCTTTCACCTATATAACTGTAATTGCCTCTTGCCTGCTTCCCTTCCTGTCTTTCATCTTTAATTTCTTTTCCCTCTTACTTGCTCATATAGTATTTGAATACTCAAGCAGCTTGGCTTCCTAACTATCCAACTTTCTATCTCATTGCACTAACCACATGGTTTTAGTTGGACATTGTTTCCTAAGCATTTCCTTTCCGCTTCCATTTTCACACATATCCTCATACTAGTTCCCCTTTTTTTGGTATGCTTTTTCTTCCCTTTTTTACTGTTTAAGTCTACCCATTTTTAAATGTCTGTCAAAATTGTACTTTCTCCACACAGCCTTCCAGATAGCATCCGGTGATGTTATTATCAATGTCTCTAGTTTTAGATTTGAGTCATAAAGTAACTATTTTTCTTTTTTAAAAGTGTTGCAGAATTATACATCCACTTACGTGTTTTTCCCTTCAGAATATTCTCTTAGAGAACTAAAAACCTTCCATTTTTAGAGCTTCTTGTTGGCTTTTACATTGCATATGGTTTGGAATATCTCCAGTGGTGGCAAATCATTGTCCTTCAAAATTATATTTGATTTTTAGAGACAGTGTTATTCAAGGTATCAGAAAATAGCATTTTGGGTCAGAAGCAAGGTATGGAGGAGAATCCAGTAGTATGGTATGATAAGGGCTCTCTAAATAGTTAGACAAACAGATCATTACCAGGTGAAGATTTAAGAAATAGAAAATATCCAGACACTATCCCCCCAAAAAAGGGGAGGGGGTGGAGAGAGAGAGAGAGAGAGAGAGAGAGAGAAAGAAAGAGAGAGAGAGAGAAAGAGAGAGAGAGAATATGAAAGGACATCTGCAAAGACCATTATTAATAATTGCTGTGGCAGGCAGGAAGGAAATAGAGTCCGGCAGGTAGTTCAGTCAGGGTGGCCTCAAATATCTGTTAACCAAGTTGAGAAACACAGGAGACATGGAAAAGTCAGACTCGTTTCTGGTAAGAAGTTTTGAACAATCAAAAGCTCAAATTTTACGGAAGGAGAGTGAAATTAGAAAAACATTAGAAAGAATGAATGGTAAATTGCAGTCCGTGACCAGGCGAATGGAAGAAGCAGAAAACATCTGGATACAATGTGACAGTAAAGAAGAAATGATGTTCTTAAATTGGGTGAAGAAATGATGTTCTTAAATTGGGTGATGATGAAACTCAGTTATTACAATTACTCCCCTATTTATAATAATGCAAGGAGAAAGAAGAAAGAATAGAAAAATAATTTGAAAAATAACAAGAGCAATTCTCTTAATCAAATTCACCAATTCTCTTAATCGAATAGAGATAGAATTATTACTGGAAAGGCTAACATGAAGCCTAAGAAGACTGATTTAAACAAGGATACTCCTAAATAAGTCAAGGTTTCAAAAATATAATCCAGAAAACCTCTTTTTAGTTATTTGCTTCTATAATTTAGATGAGTCATAATGTTTCTAGATCTTGAAACACTCATATCAATTTTTTTAAAGCATCGTTTCCAGAATTTAAAAGCAGATGAATAAAAACGTGAACAAGTAGGAGTGCAGTCTCAGATATGGCCCTCAACTGAAATGATATTCACAGCCAAAGGAGGGTTTACAGCCTTTACAAAACCAAAAGATCTGCATTATACAGACTTAATGGTAGGTTTTAGGTCTTTGCAGCATAGTTAGGTGGACATTTAAAATGAGTGGAACTTTAAAAAGATTATCAATTAAAAAATAGGGCAAAAAAGATATAAAGGAAGGAAAGGGAAGCTTATTAGCTTTGATAATTTCATTAGTTTCTCCAGTATGAGGAAAGAGTACAATTATATGTTTGTTTTATAGACAAGTGGGGAGCCGAGAGAGAAGTGGATAAGAAAATCAAAATGTTTAAAATACATCATGTAACTATTTATCTCTTCACCTTAATTTTACATCATCCTTGTCTCATCAGGGTCCATACTTCATCAGTTATCTTTTATTCTTTAATGATAGTTTACTAATTCTTTAGAGTGACAAATATGAGCATAAATATGCTACAAGTTAAAAGAAATAACAAAACTAAAATATTTGCTAAAAAAAAATAACAGGCTGGAGTAAATAGCACAGACTGATCACAAGGTGAGTGTTAGACAAGCAGAAAACATCTGGATATAATGTGACAGTGAAGATAAAAAGTTATTAATGATAATATTTACACAGTTAAACACAAAACAAAATTCTAGAAGAAGAAACCTGTAACTACTTTACTTTAAAATGCAAATACAAATTCCTCTATGAATTTGGGCAGCAAATATAATTTGTCAAAATATATGATAATGCCCATATATTATTTTAGCCAGAAATAAAAATTATGTGATAAATACTAGAATGACGGCAATCAAATAGGAACTTTGTTTCATATTTAAGATACATTTAAATATATTTTTTCAGTAGTGGAGAATATTCAGGAGGATATTATGAACATGCATAATGAAATAATAAAGCTTTTCAAAATTCTTGTCGGGATGATACATAAAAATTTAAGAAAATCCCTGTAATCCCAGCACTTTGGGAGGCCGAGGCGGGTGGATCACTAGGTCAAGAGATCCAGACCATCCTGGTCAACATGGTGAAACCCTGTCTCTACTAAAAATACAAAAATTCAGCTGGGCATGGTGGCATGTGCCTGTAATCCCAGCTACTCAGGAGGCTGAGGCAGGAGAATTGCCTGAACCCAGGAGGCGGAGGTTGCAGTGAGCCGAGATCGCGCCATTGCACTTCAGCCTGGGTAACAAGAGCAAAACTCCGTCTCAAAAAAAAAAGAAAAAAAAAAAACTTAACAAAATCAAGTAAACATTACTGCAAGCAGCAAAATATTTTATAGGGTATTATAAAGATAACTATAAGTGCATAGTTCAATAGTGATTATTAATAAACTACAAAGAAGTAGAAATAGTAGATATGGAAGATTTATGGACATTGGAAATTACATCTATGTTAGAATACAAAGTTATAGTGTAGATAGTATAGAAAATGTTTACTCATTCGTATATAGTATTATAATAATTTCTTGTATTCAACAGGAATATAACTAGAAAAATTATAAAGAAAACCTTAAAAAAGCCAGCATCACTGAAAGACTTAATGGGAACTAGGAAAAAGAAATAAAATGGTATAATTCTAAAATTTGAAAACACAAGTAATAAAGACCTCTTTCATGTCCTTTTTCCCTCACAGGTATCTGGGTCTTATGGATCTTGCTTCATAAGTAGTTCTTGAATCTGTGTGTTGTAACATAAACCATAGTTCTGTTTTGACTCTCTGGACAATAGTTTGCTTGCTTGCATTCTCTCACTGGCTTTCCACTACATGCACTTGTGCTCTCTCTTCCGTTTTCTCTCTCTCTCTCTTTCTTTCTTTCTCTCTCTCTCTTTTTCCCCATCCCTCTCCAGTCATATCTCTTTCTAATATATTCACCCTGGGTATTTGAGTGATGTTTTGCAAAGGCAAATCTGATCATGTGCACAGTGCTCAAAAAGTGTTGGTTGACTGCTTCTTATGGGTCTAAAGCAATATTCATTATATGATATATACTGGGGTATATTTTATATTCAAATTTGAATATGAATTTGTAGCATTTGAGTGGAGATATTAGTTTGACCTCATATTTGTGTTGAACTTGAAAATGTGTAGTTTGCTTTTACATTATTTAATCTTCACATTGACACAGTGACTTAATTTATATTATTAGTTTTATGAGAAAATGGAGTTTATGGTTGTACAGCTAGAAAAAGGTAAGACTGAAACTCCTGACTGCTACATACAGTGTTAGTGTAACTGTTGAAATTGTTACCTAGGAATATAGGAGAGATACTTTTAGGCCTTTTGGTTTTTATAGTTTATATTTGTAACCAGAGGGAACTTGTCTGCATTAGGGAGCTCTTGTAAATACAGCCCAACTGCCCTTCACTGGGAAAAGGGACTGAGCAAAATCAGCTAGTTTTCCTTTCTACTTTTTCTTTTGTACTGTGTACTGAATATAGTTGTTAGAATACAGATTACATTTTTTAAAAATATGCATTGCATATCCAGTTATACCTTGCATGTATAAATAATTATGAGGGTATCTGTGAGCCACTAAAATAGGAACTTTATAAATTATGTCAGTAATTATATCAGTTAAATGCCTGGCCCACAGTAGATACTTGATAAAAATTTTTCATTGAATGAGTTGTATTCAAGTTGTATTCAGTTGCAGGTAATAGAAGACTCAACTCTAAATGATTTAAATAATAAAGACATTTATTGTCCTGTATGTCAAGAAATCTGCTGTTCTGCCACTCACTGAAATCTTTAGGGAACTGTGCTCTTTCCATTTTTCTGCTTTGTAACCCTCAGCATGTGATTCAATCATGACCACCTAACTCAATAATTGGGCTCAACCACAGCCTGCTTTATTGCTACTTGCTTTTTGTTTGTTTTTACAACAACAAAACTAATAGCTTTTGTTTATTTGGTACTTCCATCAGGGTTACATATATATTCTACATATGTTTTCCTCTTGTGCTTACCTAATGTAAGTACAGAACTAATTTCAGTGGTGTAAAATAATTTATTTCCTTCACCTAAAGGATTTTTTTTTTAAACTGTGGTGAAGTTTATATAACATAGAACTAATTATTTTAAAATGTACAGTTCAGGGTCAGTACATTCACTGTGTTATGCAATTGGCACCTCTATGTAGCTCTAAAACATTTTATTACCCCAAAAGAAAGCTCTGTATCCATTAACCCAGCCATTCTCCAGTTTCCCCTTGATATGGTTTGGCTCTGTGTCTCACCCAAATCTCACCTTGAATTGTAATCCCCACGTGTCAAAGCCAGGACCAGGTAGAAGCGATTGGATCATAGGGGCATTTTCTCCCATAACTGTTTTTGCGATAATGAGTGAGTCTCATGAGATCTGATGGTTTTATAAACACCTGGCATTTCCTCTGCTTGCACTCACTCCATCCTGCTGCCTGGTGAAGAAACTGCCTACTTGTTATTTGCCATCCACCATGATTGTAAGTTTCCTGAGGCCTCCCCAGCAATGTGGAACTCTCAATTAAACCTCTTTCCTTTATAAATTATCCAATCTCAGGTATTTCTTCATAGCAATGTGAGAACGGACTAATATGCTCCTCCACCCACAGCCCCCAGCAACCACCAGTCTATTTTCCATCTCTGCAGATTTACCTATTCTAGATATTTCTTATAACTGGAGTCAGACAATATGTGACTTTGTGTTTGGGTTCTTTCACTTAGCAAGTTTTTGAAGTTCATCCATTTTGTAGCGTGTATCGGTATTTCATTACCTTTTATGATAGTCATATTCTATCATATGTATATATCACATTTTATTTATCCATTCATCCGTTGATAGACATTTGAATTGTTTACAGCTGTTGGCTCTTGTGAGTAGTGCTGCTATGAACATTTGTGTATGAGTATTTGATTATTTGTTTTCAATTCTTTTGTGTATATATATATTTATATATATATACAAATAAATAAAATGTATATTTATATATAAACATTCAATTCTTTTGGATATACATATAAACTATATATATATATAATGTTTGGAAAAAGCAAATCTAATCATGTGCATAGTGATATATATATTATATATTGTTAATATATAATATGTAATTATATATTATATCTAATCTATATATTAATATATTTTATATAAAACAATTGTACATATTATATAAACAATTATATATATTATATATAGTAACAATATATATCAAAATAACATAACTACTGTTAGAATTACTTATATATATACTGTTTATATATGAACTATGTATACTATTTACATTTATAAACTATGTATTAGTATATAAACATATATATTACTGTATACACACACATATACCTAGAAGCAGAATTGCTGGAGCACATGCTAATTCTGTGTTTAACTTTTTATACCATTCTATATTCCCACCAGCAATGTAAAAGAGTTCCATTTTTATTATATCCTTACCAACACTTATTCTTTTAAGGTTTTTGATGTTAGCCATTCTAGTGAGTGTGAAGTAGTATCTGATCGTGGTTTTGATTTTCACTTCTCTAATAACTGATAATATTGAACATTTTTTCTTTTGCATGTTGGTCATATTGCTACTTCTTAATATAAATTCTCTTATTCAGGCAAACTCTAATTCCTGCATCCTGCTGAATTTTTCGCTTGTGCTTTGCCTCACCAAGTTGCCATGCTTCTGCCATACCCAAGTTAACTTCTTTTTCTTCTATGAAGTACCCTAATGATTTAGGTTTCAGATAATGTATAGTATAGGGGATCATACATGATCTCTCCTGTATATTTATGAGTTCTAAATTATACACTCCAATTGTGTATTTTTGAATTACATGTAAATATGAACAATTTATTTCAATCATTTAGCTAACTGAGTCTAATTGGACTCAAGTATGTATTGTGTTTATTATTTGTTTTATTTATTCAGAGTTTCTTGAGGAGGATGTATTGATGGTTCTAGAACTATAACTAATAACTAATTTTAATATATTATAAGTTTGTACATTAATTAATTTCCTATGAGGAAAAGAGGAAGCAGTAGGAAATAAGATATTCGCCTCTGCTGGGGTTTCTCAGCCTCTACACAGTTGACATTTTGGAGTGGCAATTATCTGTTGTGGGGACTGTCTTTTGCACTGTAGGATGTTTAGCACTATCTCTGCTTACTCTGCTCACTACTGACATCTACTCACTAGATATCATTAGTTTGTCCCATTTGTAATAACCAAAAATATTTTCAGAAATTGACAAATGTCCCTGGGGCACAATTGCTTCTCCTCCTTACAAGAACTCTCTAATTTCTATTTTGAAACAAATCCAGAGCTTGAGAGAACTGTAGAAATAAAAACAAAAAGTGAACAATGATGGTTTCTGTAGAAATGTGTGCTGTTTTGAGAAGTAACAATTTTATAAGAAGGAGGATAAAAAGGTTTTGGCTTGGGAACCTATTTAACATTCTGGAAAATAAGTCTTTTGACTCCAGCTGTATTAATTTTGGGTAGATATGATTAATTTTAGACATTAATAAATTATTTTTAATTTTTTTCAGCTTATTATGACAATACCATTTTTCATAGAGTTGTGCCTGGTTTTATAGTCCAAGGTGGAGATCCTACTGGCACAGGGACTGGTGGAGAGTCTATTTATGGAACACCATTCAAAGTAAGACTGAATTACTATTTTTATTATTGTTGTTGTTATCTAAGTCACCTGAGATTGCTTAATTGAAAATGATTGTGTTCCATAAGAGGAAAAAAAGGTTGCACATTAGTATATAAAAAATCAGGCTGGACGCAGGACTTCGGGAAGCTGAGTGGGGTGGATCACTTGAGGTCAGGAGTTTGAGACCAGCCTGGCCAACATGGTGAAACCCCGTCTTACTAAAAATATAAATCCCAGCTACTCAGGAGGCTGAGGCAGGAGAATTGCTTGACCCAGGAGTTAAAGGTTGCCATGAGCCGAGATCTAACCACTGCACTCCAGTCTGGGCAATAGAGGGAGACTCTATCTCAAAAAACAAAACAAAAAAAATTGTCCATAAAAGGTGCATTGATCAAGAACAGGTCATGATTTTTTAACTGCCAACATAGATCTAAGAAGAAAAAGTGTTAATGTGATAGCAAAGATATTAAGAACAATAGCAGGTTCAAGTAAAAGCTAAAAGTTGTGTTTGAATGAGTGAACATTGATATTGCTTAAAATATGAGAGTTTTTGACAATTTGTTTTTATACTAATGGGATAGAGTGTCTGCATTTTCTTTTCATCTTTTACTGAGTCATTGTGTGATTCTTGAAGAAAATATTTGAACTGTTTGCTTTAATTTCCAGATGATAATGGCCTTAGAAATGTGGAATAGTTATTTTAAAAGTTTCAAATGTGACTTTTAGACTATTTTACATTTTATCATGGTAAGACTTCTCATGATTTTAGAGACTCCGTCTAGTCAGAAGCATTCTTTTATTCTTTTATTTAGTGTAACAGAATAATTCTTTTTGACAGTTCCTTCCTAACTCGAGATTTTTGTTTCATTATTTTCAGGTAATGCAGTTATCTTGTTACATTTTTCAATTAGATCATTTTGATTACAGAGTTATGATTGAGTTCAGATCTCTTGAGAATTATTTATTAAGGAAAAATATCTTCCTTTGTGAAAAGCGTTTATTATATAACATGGCTACGTTTATATATGAGCTCAGTATCAGGTTGTATAGAAATTCTGTTAACTAAGAGACTAATATATTTGTTAAGTATCTCTATCATAGTGAGAAAACCACTTTAGAAAGGCTTGTTCCTGCTCTTTTGAAAACTGGCAAATAGAATCAGTGCCATTTCAGAGAAGATCCAACTTAGGACTTTAAAAAGACATGGTAAAATTATATAACACAATCATAGTAGATTATTTGAATTAAAAAACAAGAAGAGAGCAATCGTTTAATGGCATTTAGAATGAGATGGGAAGGAGTAATAATCGAAGACTCTGCAAGTTTACTGGGAGAAATAATAGAACTTTTCAAAAGCTTAGTTGACTTTGGGTTGAGAATAGGGAGATTACTTAGAAATCCATTTCCCCTTAGGTACTCTTCCCTTAAGTTTAATTAAGCAGCTTTCTACAAAATAGGGTATATTTCTGTGTAAGTGTATTTAGAAGATATAGCCCAGTGAATTCAAGTTTAATAACATTGAAAGAATAGTAGGTACTTGAAAATCAATTAAGTAAAGTGTCTACATTTTTTATTAGAAGTTGTATGGAACCTTGCAGGTCAAGTTCAATAGCTGCATATGAAAGGTCTTATAACTGAGGACATTCACTAAATCTTTTTAACGTTTCAGGATGAATTTCATTCACGGTTGCGTTTTAATCGGAGAGGACTGGTTGCCATGGCAAATGCTGGTTCTCATGATAATGGCAGCCAGTTTTTCTTTACACTGGGTCGAGCAGACGAACTTAACAATAAGCATACCATCTTTGGAAAGGTTAGTGTCCAGTTATTTTAAACCTATGGTTCAGTTTTTGGTTTTATGTTATTCCTTAGGTTTCTAAGCTATATATGATTAACTTATCTATGGGCTACCTTCATAAAAACATTCCATAGGATATGTTTATTATTTTCAAAAATCATGGAATATATTCCTATTATAATGCACTATGAGTAACCCTCTAAATTCTTTTTTGCGTCTTTCATTCCGTCATTAGTTGTGACTTTAGTGTATTCCTTCTTTAAAATCATAGTAATGGTATAAGCTAATAATGTGCCACTTAGGCAATATTGTTTTTACATTTTTGGAAAGACATTTAGGTAATAACAGTAGTTTAAAGTTTATTTTCTTAGTGATGGATTTTCTTAAGTTTAAAGTGGAATTTGTGTTGAGACTGAAACTTCCTACTGTAAATATTACTTTGAATAGAACCTGTTTAATCCTGCTCACATTTAATGTCATATTGGGGAACATTCTTTCTATAGAATTTTCAACAATTCTCTTTAAAAAGGGATTCTGAAGGTTTTCTTCTCTCACTCTTCTCCCTTCTCATAAATATGTTTTTATATGTTTTAAGTCTTAGGCATATTAGACATCACAAGTGTATCAGCTCCCTCTGGTGGTTCAGTAAGAATGATTTCCCCCATATGCCAGGCAAAACTGGATTTTGTGATAATGAAAGGGAAAAACCAAACTCAGTACAATTGGAAAGCTGGTGTTGTTTTAAAAGTCTTGAGAAACACTGAATGAAAGGAATCACACTAAAACCGTGAATTGCAATATTGTTGGTTAATACATTAATAACAGCAATAGGTTAGGAAATATGCTTTGACACATTCTTTTGAGCCACTCCAACAGAACCTGTCTGATGTTTATCGATTCCCCCTATTTATTTCTTAAAAATAAGAGTGTATAATAAAATGAGATTTAAGTTGTCATTCTGTGTCAGTTTTTACCATTGGGATTATATAACTAACATATGAGAGACAATGTGTAGCATAGTTAGAAGTTAGAAAGCCCATCACTGTTGGTTTTATAGTTTCTTTGAGCCTCGTTTTTCTTATCTGTAGAAGGATAATGACAGTTTCTACTTTTAGGATGTTTGTGAAATTAAATGAGGTAATGTCCGTACAGCATTTACCACATTATTGTTGTTATTATTTGCTTATTTTATCCTATTCCAAAGTTTAATTTGGTTTATGATGTTTGAATGAAAAGTTGTCATTCAGTAGGATATTATTTGGCATTATATTTTTAATAAAAACATATTAAATATATATTGGAAATTTCCTGAAAACTTACTGAGGGATTGAATTCCATCCATGCTTTTCTCTTTTAAGATAAAGTTGCTTTATTCGCATTATTAAATGCATATATTTTTATGTAATCATGTGAAATTACCTTTTAATTTGAAAAATATTTTCAAAGATTTTCTCTTAATTCAAAGGATGAATGTAAGAATTTTCAATTACGTTATATTTTTAATTTGATAGGTTACAGGAGATACAGTATATAACATGTTGCGACTGTCAGAAGTAGACATTGATGATGAGGAAAGACCACGTAATCCACACAAAATAAAAAGCTGTGAGGTAGGAGCATGATTATTATGAGATATGGCACCTATATTGTCATTTAAGAGGAATTGAATCTTAGTATTTTTAAACTATTGGATGAAGTCTTTATACTAAGTTAACATCACAACTCAGATTTTATCTCTAATTTATTTGGGCACAATTTCTAGTTAAGAATTTTTTAATTAAAAGTTTTTAATTCAAAGATGAAACTTTATCTGATAATCCAATGACTGAAAAGCTTACCTCTTAATGCAAAGTTAAAAGAATTCCATTTATTTAGCCCAAAGAAGTGACTTCATAGGTAATTTAAGAGTGATCCACTGGGTGCAATGACTCACACCTGTAATCCCAGCACTTTGGGGGACAAACGTGGGCGGATCACTAGGTCAGGTGATCAAGATCATCCTGGCTAACATGATGAAAACCCGTGTCTACTAAAAATACAAAATATTAGCCAGGGGTGGTGGCACGCACCTGTAGTCCCAGCTTCTTGGGAGGATGAGGCAGGAGAATCGCTTGAACCTAGGGAGCCGAGGTTGCAGTGAGCCGAGGTCATGCTATTGCCTTCCAGCCTGGCAACAGAGTGAGACTCTGTTTCAAAAAAAAAAAAAAGAAAAAGAGTGATCCTTTATTGAGGAAGCAAGAATACTTGATTTGGAATCAAAGCACCTGAGTTGGTCTTGCTTACTATGTATCATGTACGAGTTCTCATATTTTTTCCTTTTGTAAAATAGCCATGGAAGTGGAGGCATGTTGTATAGCATATACATATCACTTTGCGAATAATATTTATCTGGGGAAAAATATAGACACTATACCAATGGAATTATATATTGTGTTTAATTTTTTGCGAAATGTTTGAAATGTAATAATGTTTTCAAAATATTTCTTTTCATAGGTTTTGTTTAATCCTTTTGATGACATTATTCCAAGGGAAATTAAAAGGCCAAAAAAAGAGAAACCAGAGGAGGAAGTAAAGAAATTGAAGCCCAAAGGCACAAAGTAATCACAGTGGAGAGATTTTTCTACAGCTTGAAAAATGACCCTTATTCATTTGGTTTACTTTATTTCCTTTTATAGTAATTGTTTACTAGCAAAGGAGAGGCCACTTTGAACGAGAGAGATATTGGAATTATAAGCGTGTGTTTGTATTAGTTCATTTTCACACTGCTATAGAGACATACCTGAGACTGAGAGATATTGGAATTATGAGTGTGTGGTTGTATTAGCCTGTTTTCACACTACTATAAAGATATACCTGAGACTGTGTAATTTATAAAGAAAAGAAGTTTAATTGACTCACAGTTCTGCATGGCTGGGGAGGCCTCAGGAAACTTCAATCATGACAGAAGGTGAAGTGGGCACCTTCTTCACAAGAAAGCAGGAGAGAGCAAGTGTGAAGGAGGAACTGTCAAACACTTACAAAACCATCAGATCTAATGGGAACTCACTCAGTATCATGAGAACAGCTTTGGGGAAACCTCCCCCATAATCCAGTCACCTCCCACCAGAGTCCCTCCCTCAACATGTGGGGAGGTTATGGGAATTACTGAAGATAAGACTTGGGTGGGGACACAGAGCCAAACCATATTAGTGGTTTTTTTTTGTTGTTGTTTTCTAAATGAGCAACTCTTGTATTCAGGTGCAGTATATCTTACACTTAAGCTACAAACATGTCATCTCAGTTGTTCATATGAAATCTGTATTAATAGATACATATTTTATGATCCCTATAACATTTATATGAATGAGTTGTTGAGAAACTTTTGTTTTTTGCTTCTTATTTTAAAATTAATATATGCTCACTCAGTATATATAGAAAAAGTGTAAAGAATATTTTTAATGATGACATGATTCCATTATGTAATTTAACTTCTATTTTTCACTCCTTTTTGGTGCTATCAAAAATAATCTTATCATAAATATTTTAAAATATAAAGCTGTTTCATTCAGTATTCTGGTTTATTTCCTGAAGATAATTTTCCAAAAGATAGGAATAAAAAAAATAAATTTCAGTATTTCGTGACAATACTCTACATTATTAACATTGTCTGTATATACTGCAGAGTTAGATTTCAACATATTCTTTTACTGAATTGTAGGATCCTTATTAGGGATTTTATTGTACCTATAATTGTTGGATTTGATCAATTCTAGATATAATCCTGCCAAACCTAGTTAATAAAAAGCAAAGGTGATTAAACTTTCTAAGCTTCAGTTGCTTCTTACTGTAAAATGGAGATTAGAATAAGTACAACACCTCATCGTTATGAAGGTTAAATGAAAAGAGGTATGTAGAAACATCCAGTAATATAGGCATTCAATACCTATTAGTCCTTTTCCTTGACATCCTACACATAAAAAATTAAGTTGTTTTATAAACTGTTAGCTATGAGCCAGACATTTTAATAAGCAAAATAACTTATTGGAATATTTTGTGGCAAATTAACTGCTTATTGGAATTATTTATTTGATTTTTTAAAATTCTTTGATTGGCTTATTTTGACTAATCTATCTCTGGATGAAAGGTTACTGTCATTATAGCTATATATAGTATGTCATCACTGTGATTTAGCTTAATGATAAGCTCTAAAGTCAATTTGTGTGTGTGTTTTGCTTTTGGTTTCCAGCAAATATGTTGGGAATGATATGTTGCTTATTGCTTGCTTCTAGGTTTTGGGAAACAAAAAATCTGTTTTTGCTACCACATCTTTAATTTTTCTATTTGAGAGAGAGTTTTAGTGACTTATTGTTTATCTTACTTGAGATTTCCTTTGTTTGATGAATCAGAGGAGACAAACCTAGCTTTTTCTTTTCGTGGGCTATTTTAGTTGTTTATTGCTTATATTTTTTCTGTCTGACAATTTTGTATACATTATATTGTTAATTTTAAAATATTAAAACATATGTCACCAAATACGAGATTAATTGCTTCCCGTTTGTAGCACTCAGGGATATATACTTATTAGTTTTGCAGAAATCTCCATTTTGCTTCCAGTTTTGATAAATATAAAAAGCTTAACTATTTCTGTCATGCTTAACTTACCACATTTAATGATAATGCTCAGGAGGGATTTTGGTCATTAAAAGTTAGTATAATGTAGGAAACGTTGGTGCTGTGAGGCAAAAGCCTTAACATCATGCTGAAAATATAGATTGTTAGAATACTTCTGCTGAATACTAAGTAATACAGTTTTTTATAAAATAGTCAGAATGTATTTATTCTTATAAATTCTCTTCTCTTGCTCTGAAAATAATATGTTTGATTTAACTTTTCTTTCTATTTTTTCTTTCATTCTTTTTTTTTTTTTGGATTAGAAATTTTAGTTTACTTTCATTTGGAGAGGAAGCTGAGGAAGAAGAGGAGGAAGTAAATCGAGTTAGTCAGGTAATCTGTAATTTGCCCTTTGTTCTAACGTGTAAAAGAGATTAAGGTCTACTCATTATTGTATCTCCTGCTATGTATTGTATCTCCAGCACATTTTACGTGGGACAGGCTCAGTGTTCATTGAATTTGTAAACTGATTTGTGGTCAGTAATATTTGCAACTTTTGAGATTATTTCCCCACATAAATTTGTAGTGTTTATTTATTTTTAATGTTGGCATTTAAAAAAAAATCAGTTTGAATTTTTAAATCAGTTGGCATTTTAAAAAAAATCAGTTGAATCATAAAGTTCAACCATTCAAAAAACTTGCAGTTTTTTGAATGGTTGAACTTTATGATTTAGATCCTAACTGCTATTTGTTCAGTTGGTATGATAGATGATAATGATTATCATCATTACTGTTATAAACAATCAGAGACCAAAACTCTTATATTCATTTTAATGTTATTTATATCTATTTTGTTTATTTCATTCTCATCACAGCCCTTTGAGATGGGTGATATTATTATCCTCATTTTATGAATAAATTTAGCTATAGTTTATAATTTGCTCAAAGTCACATGACCAATAAATAGCTATGGCTGGGAATTGAACCCAGGTCTTTGTAACTATTAAATCTATGTCCTTGAATTATGCAGTGCCTTCTGGCCTTTTTATTGTGCCAGCCCTTCCTGTAGGTCTTTACATGTGGTTTTCTTCAATATTGCTTGCATCATAATACTCATTACTGAAACAGTGTCTTGCCATTGTTAGGAGCAGTAATTCTGGTATGTATACTATAAGAAAATTATCTTCAAAGGTTTCTAGTCCTAAAGATTCTGATATGCCTTTCTTTTTTGAAAATTAGTGAACACTGGGACCTAAAGGGTTAGGTTCATAGTCTTTATTATTGTAATGAAAACTTTATAACCTATTAGTCTTAATTGTTTAATGTAATTATCTATTTCTAACCAACTCTAACAATAAATTGAATTAAAAGCACATTATTATTATTCTTGTTTTTACTTCTTTATCTGTATGTTCCCTTATCAGTGAGCATGGTTTCTGTAGGCTAATGCTGGACGTTTAGTAAGCACTCTACTTAATACCCCTGGCATTAAAATATAATTAAAATGGGCGTGTATATGAAATATTTTGCTCATAATTTTTTCTTGCTTTTTACTGTATCCTTGAGTGATCTATTTGATGCTATGGGTTCAGTTTCCACTTACCTGTATACCAACATTCTAAACTCCAGGAGATAAGGCTGAATATTTCTTCTGAGCTCTTATCCCTTGTTCAGAGTTGCTTTAGGAAACGTCTCTACTTTAGATGTCAAAACTAAATTCATTGTTTTTACAAAAACTTCATTTCCCAATTTTTTCTTTTTTTTGAGATGGAGTCTTGCTCTGTTGCCTAGACTGGAGTACAGTGGCACAATCTCAGCTCAGTGCAACCTCCACCTTCCAGATTCAAGCAATTCTCCTGCCTCAGCCTCCTGAGTAGCTGGGATTACAGGCACGCACCACCATGCCCAGCTAATTCTTGTATTTTTAGTAGAGAAAGGGTTTCACCATGTTGGTCAGGCTGGTCTCAAACTTCTGACCTCGTGATCCACCTGCATCAGCCTTCCAAAGTGCTGCAATTAAAGGCATAAGCCACCATCCCCGGCCCATTTTCCAGGTTTTTTAATGTCACCACTCTGTCACCTCAATATCTGAAGAGTCATCTTGTTTAGATGTCAGTGCTCTAGTCTTGCATTGTTCATGATTCAAATTTATGCCTCAGAATGATTTACTATGTGTCATAATTCTGTGGATATATTTGTGAATGAACAAAATCACAAATGTTATATCTGGAAACTGCCAGGGTTCCTTTTCTTTGATGTTTTCTAAAGATGTCAAGTTTTCTTGCATACTCATACCTTCCTCACAGTTCCCCCACCCCTGTTTTTCCTTTTGCCTGGAGTGTGCTCTCTCCTTTATTTGCCTACTTCTTGTTTTTTCTTTAAGATTTAGCTCTACTATCACCTTCTACTTCTACCTCCCCCTGCCACTGAACTCCCACCCAGGCTAAGCTAGGTACTTCTTTCCATGATAATCGGTCTATGGCCATCAAAGCATTTATGATACTGCATTACAATAATTTATTTTCTTATCTGCTAATTGTACTATTTACTTTATGTAATCCTTTTAACAACCCTGCAATATAGACATTATTTTTCTTATTTTGTAGAATAAAGAAAGTGAAACTTAGAGGGTGTTAAATCACTTGTCCACAATCATGCAAGTAAGAGGTGGTAAAATCAGAATTTTGAACTGAGGGTTGTTTTTTTTTTTAAGCTAGCTAAGTCTCTCATATGATTGTGAATGCTATAGAAGCTGTCTCCCTCAAGCCCAAGACATCTCAAAGCTGCCTTCTACCCAAGAATGCTATGCTGCTAGTGAAATTTTTTACCAGTGAAAAAAATTTTGCTGGTAGCGTAGCATTCTGGGGTAGAAGGCAGCTGGGGAAGGTAGTTGTCCCATTGTCCTTCCCTAAATCCCGTAGGTTCCTGGATAGTAGGTTGAGCAGCCTTGGAGAGCAAGGGTAGGAGAAAGGAGGTTTTCTGTCAGTTTTTTTGCTGAAATTAAATTTCTAGTCTAAAGTAAGTTTTGTTCACAATTACTTTGAGATTAGCTTTATTAGGAAATAAGTTTGAATTTTTTATCTTTGTAACAGCAGATGTGTTAAATGTTCAAAGTGTATCTTTTGTCTGCTTTCTACTATACAAAGTAGAAAAACGATATGTTTAAATTGTATTGAATATTGTGGACTTATACTCCAAAAGCAATTTGCATTTCAGATTGAAATGTACAAGTATACCATCACAGGTAGTGCTGTCTTGCTCTTTATTTTCTTTCCTAAACCTGAGAAACACTTTAAACACTTTTAGAAGGACTGAGTAAAATCTTTTCTCTCTGCTAAGAAAATTACAACCCAAATACAGTTCATTATCACATGAGTATTATTATCCTAGTATTGTGTCATCATAATTTTCTCATCTGGCTCTTTCGTAAGGAGGTGCTTTTGAATAAAGTTATCATCAAATGCTTGTTATCTGACTCTCACGTCTGCATCTCTAGGCTGGTTTACTCTTCTCCAGCTGCTTACTGCACACTAGTTTCTCAAGCCCCGGCCAAGTCTTAACTCACTATCATTTTCTTCTCAAACTTCTTGTTTTGTGACTTTATATTCCCTGGTGTCAGTATCTTCCAGAGGAATTCAGTATCTTTCAAAGGAATTCATACCAGGGAAATGTAGGAAAGACTGCTTTAGCAAATCTGAATGACTTGCTGCTCTGTATGTATGCCTCATCATTTCTGTTTTTTGTGCCTTCGTTCATGTTCTTTTTCCCACCTGAAATGTCCCATTCCATCTCTGGCTATCAAAGTCATATTTGTTTTCAACACCTGAAATGCCATCTTTTCTAAATGTCTTTTTCAGCTTTAAATTTTTTTTTCCTTTTTCTTACCCAACCTTTGCCTTTCTTATGACACTTTACATTTTCCTTTTAAACACATCTTTTTTGCTTTATTACAGAAGAAGCATATGACTATGTTTGCATTGTACATTAGTCCAACATTATACCCTTTACTTTATAACGTATTAATTGTATAGAGTCCTGAGCTGTGAGCTCATTACAGATAGAGTCTGTGCCGCTTTTGAGTGGCAGTGTGTTAGAGTAGAAATAACATGGATTTGGGGTCATACACATTCCTGTTAAAACTTTAATTTCCCTTGATACGCTGTGAGCTTTGATAACTTAGTCTCTCTGAGCCTCAATTTTCCTTTCTGTAACGTGAAAATGATATGTCCCACTTAGTGCTCTAAGGATATAGATAGTTTTAATTTTGATTTATTTTACAGTATTGAAAAATGTCTTTGAAAGTCAAATGCCTTAAAATAGAACTTAAAATAGTTCTCTGATATTAAAATATCAATTATAATATATAATATATAATTTTGTAGAGATCTACAAAATATAAAATTTGCTAATGTGGTCATAACTGTTATGTAGAATCTCATGCTCTTATGCCCAATCTAGAGGGCTGTTGGTAACTTCATTATCAGCTCAGCATTTTTGGGTAAGAAGCCATAATCTTGACACAATTGGCTACTGCCCTTCCTGAGCACTCCCATAGAGTTCTAGACAGTGACTTGTACAGCCTAGCCTCAGCCTCCTAGATAGTGGCTTGTGCCGCCAGCCTCATTATTACCTACCAAAAACCCCATTTTTCACATGCAATTGGATCTTGGCACACTGAAGAATCTCTAGCCTACAGAATTTAACTTTTTTGTTTGCTTTATGTAATGGACAAGGAGGTAAGTTTAGTTGGAGAAAATAGAGTAACAAGAACAATACTGTTGAAATTTACCGGCTTAGAGAAAGGGAAATTGTTTTTGAGTATATCATATAAATTCTGGAGAGAATCCAAGTAGAAGTGTATTTTTGTTTAATTTTGCTTATATACAGTTTTTTTACACTACCAGCACTGTTCAGATACCTTGGTAAGAAGAGAAAGAATGTTGGAAAACTGTGGCTAACAGAATATATTCCTTCAAAATTTAGCTTTACTATTTTTAAATATATGAAACGTCTGGAGCCAAAGCCAAATAAGTGTCTGTTTTAATGACTAAGAATAATTTGCAGTTTCAGTGGTTGCATAAAATTAAGTATTTCTAAAGGGCTTTAAAATAATTGTTTAATTCTTCATTTGCTTATCAAGTTTCTTTTTTCAGTGACTGCACAGTATTAATCTTTATTCCAGAACCTTTCTGCCCAATCACGAGTTAATAATTGGTAAAGTCTGAATTGAGGCTTTACTTTATGTGAAAGGAGAAATAAGATAGAGTCCTCTCTGGTTTATGGATTATCAGTGTGGGATTACAGACACCCTTTCACCCCACTCACTTATTCATGCAAGGTGCCTCTCCCACATGGGTTAGCTTTCCTTCATTATTTATTTCAGTATCGTTCTA